GAGAGTTGGCATCAAGCTCTGTTTTAGCTCTGAAAGCCTGTGAGGCAGCTGGGCTCCACCTGAAGCAGTGGAGAGGAGAGGTCAGGCATGGCCTGAGCAGAAGGGACGGCCTTGGAAGGCAGAATACTTTCCCCTTGTTAAAAATCTGGCTGTGGAAGGAAGCGGATGTCACTCAGCTGCCATTTAACTTGCAACGCTGGCTGGGTGATGGGGACAGCCCCCAGGAACAGTCACTCGTTCTCTGCTTGGGATGAGGGTTTGAAGGGTGGACTCTGAGTCCGAGAAGAGTCCCCAAGCCACGGGCCAGGCAGGCACTGCTTCCACTGGCCAAGAATTCCACTGCTTGGAATGCCACATTTGGGACCAGAAACAAATCATTCACAGAGGGACTGGACTCTGCAGCCTGTTAGTTTAGGCAGAGGGGTCTTCCCGCAGGTAATCTCCTCCTCCCTTTTAGCCAAAGCTAAATCCCGCCTTCTGTGACCATCTTTGCCTGCAGAAGAAGAAACTTCTCTTTGCATTTGTTCCCACTGTGGCCTTCTCTTTCTGCCACAGCTCAAGGACCAGAAATTCTTCCTTTCTGTTTTTAGGCATGGAAAAGTAAGCATATACTTAAACACTTTTTTTTAAGGTTTAATACTCAAGTCTGACCCTACTTAAGCAAAGAATTCACAGATGATATTTACAAGTCCAGTGTAATTACTGCAGGGCTGAAAAACGAGTTCTGCGAGTTACGGGGCATCATTGTTTTTCTTTTTTCTGTCTTTTTTTTTTTTTTTTAATGTTTCAATGAACAATGTGCCTTTCATTTCCTGCAGTGCTGTTAAGGTACTTGCAGCTCAAAGCAGTGAGACTGCATTAAAGCTAAAAAGCATTTGGCTTGGGCATTACACATTTTTATTTTTTAGAAAAATACCCCTCCCTCTTCAGAAATTGTTTGAGCAATGGATTTGGCACACATTTGCAATCAGCTGTAATAATGAATGCTGGCCTGCTTACTTGAAATGGGAGAATTTACCAACTTCTTTAAAAAGAGCTCGCTCATCTACAATCAAAGTGCTGTGCTACCAACTCTGAGCCACCAAACCACAGTGCCCCTGTCAGAAATGACACAGCATTCTCCTGCTTTGCACAGCACACCTCGTGTGCACCTTTAATTCACCAGTGCCACCACATCAAACACAAGCACTGCCTGACATCCATTTACCGACAGCAGCAGCACAGCTCTGTACCACAGTTATTAACTGCCCTGCTGCATCCTCCCTGCCTTCCTCCAGAGTTCAGCTCCTGATGGAGCAGAGCAGGATCTGACTTTTCATATTCTCTCAAAGCCAGAATCGCGAATATCCCCACCTTGCAGACAAAAAGACCAAAAGGTTTCCCTACAAAAGTTTAAAATAATCCTACTTACAAAAAGAAAATCTATCTGATAGCTGTTTCCATGACTGAATGTGAGAATAAAAGCCTGAGAGAGTGTCCACAGCAGTGCTGAGCTGGGAATTCAGTTGTTCCTGATCCCCAGGCATGCAGTCACTTCACTACATCAGACTACCCATTTTGTCATCCTCACTTCACTGAAAACTAGTTTGTTTATAACACACAACACCAAACCAGTGCATTTAACAAGCTTTTAAAATCAATAACCCCTATTTTTTTTTTTTTTTTGATTGGGTGAATTGCAAAATCACTTTGTGGTGCCAACTGAAATGAAGCTTTTACATACCATTAGGCAACTACAAAAGTGGGGAATTTTCCACATGGGTGTTCCACCCAGCTGGTCAGAAAAAATCTCTCGTTTGTGCAAAATATCAGGGCATCAAAAAATGTTCTTGCCTTTCAGAAGAAGTTGCTGGCCTCTTTCATTATTCCTCCTGCAAATTTCCTCACCCATATAACAAGCAGAGGAATTCTGGATTTTCTGCCTCTCCCCAAAAAGCTGTTGCCCATGGTGACAGAGCAGCACTGTGCACACCCTGTGTTAGTTTTACCCCCAGCTCCAGCACAAAACATCTGGACCTTGGACCGTCCATGCACCAACAAGTCCTGTCTCGCCTGCATGTTTGTTTTTCATGGCCATCATGCTGCATCTCTCTCTTTAGAAAAAATTAAATGCTTAATATTTCTGTTAAATATTTGCAGTGGTGATTGGATGACTGCCTGGAAACTATTCTGGCTTAATGAAGGCTGAGGGAAAGACCAGAGTTGGTGTTGAAACCACCACTAAGAGCAGAAGATGTCACCATCTTCCATGTCTGTGATGATCCTGCTCCAGAAAATGAACCAGCAAAGCCCACTAGAATAAAAAAAACAGGAGTGGCTCTAAAAAAGAAAAGCTTTTTCTTCCATGAACTTCACTTCAATGAAGGTTAGACATACAGGCTTTGCAAAACAACACATACAATTTAGAATGATAAATTAAAATCTGTAGTAGGAGGCCTTCTTTTTCAGGGCCGTACAGTTGACCCTCCTGAACCTACATTACTCAAGGTATGCAAAATATATGTGTATAATAAATAGCTCTAGAATTTATGGAGTGGAACAGAAAGGATATTAACAGGCAAGTAGAGAGGCTGTATAACCCTCACAAGGCCTTTAAAGATTTATTTTTTTTAAATGAAGGAATGCATGCATGGAAAAGGCAGCACTGAATCGATACACTTCTTTGTGCCTTCCAGAAACACATGCAAAAATGCTTCCAAATCTGCCCTCAATCTGGTCACTCCACTGTTGGCATCAGTGGGAATGAGATTATTCACGATTCTATTTTTTCTCTGAGTCAAAAAAAAAAAAAAAAAGAAAAAAAAATTCCTCTCTGTGTGGGCTCATTCCCACTCTCAGTAAAATCAATTACGAGCCTCCCATTGACTCCGGAGGGATTTGGATCAGGCCCTGTGGAAGTGGGTCTACAGCAAGTGTAGAACAACGCAGTTAATATGATTTATTGTGTCCGTTTCTGTGCGTGCAGTTTTTCATTTTCTAAAGCCTGCAGTTTTGCTTTCATCCTCACGTCCAGGAGATAAGAGCTGCAGATTTGTGTTGATCTACACCGGGTACCCCGGAGCTGGGGGCTGTGTGTGCTGGGAATGAGCTCAGCCTGCCCAGGGGGAAGGAGCCCTTCAGGGCCAACACTCTGGCTTAGCAAATCTCCCACACACGCACTGCAGAAGGTGCAGAACCAGTGAGGAGGCTGCTGCTGTGGTGGGGAAAAAAATACCCTTTAGTAAAACTGAGAAAAAAAAAAAAAAAAAGAGAAAAATCCTTTTCCTGTTTTAAAAAAAAAAAAAATTAAAAAAGTACCTTTTGCGGGTCACCAGCAAAGTTCCAAGAATTTGCTAAAAGATTGTTTTACAAAGAAGACTCAGGCTCTAAATCAGAGATATTTCATTTCACTAGGCTTTTACAGATTCTACATTATTAAACACTGACATTGCTGCTTTTCGGGGCAGTTGTTGAGTAGCAAGCTTTGTTAAAGACTAAGAAACTGCAGGGTAAGATGAACTGTGCTTTAATAGCTGCAAAAGAATATTATCTAAACATGAAATAATAACATGCTTGGTGCCTAATACATTCTAAATTAAAATATGATTTAATAAACACAGGCAACATATTCCCCATAAAAAAAAAATGGCAGAATTGGCAGAACAAAAATCACAGTTTAGTCAGTTCTTCTCTTAACCTTGCAATCCTTTGGCTACAAATGAGAATTTCTGTGAACAGGATTGATAAGGGAAATTAGGCGCTGTCTTTCAGAAACAACAGCAATGTTTTAAGATGGTATATTTAGAGATGAACAGCACAAAATCTATCAAAATATGAAACCTTTCATATCTAATGGGAGGAAAATACAGGAGTCCAAGCAGCCAAAATCTCAGCAGCCCAATGAGCCCTATGTTCTATGTCCTATGATTCATAGTTAAAGGTTTTTATGTACCTAAACCTCTTCTTCTTCCCTTAATATTGAACTCTAACCCCAAAGCAGTCCAGATGAAGCCCCTCAGCCTCACTGTCCCTTGTAGGGGTTTAAGGCAAAGCAGTTTGTTGCTCTGTGAAAGTGAAATCACACGTGCATTACTACAGATACAGTATTTCTATGTGGATTTACACATCCCAGAAATGGGGACAGGGCGTCAGAGGCAGAAACCCTTCACACAAATTCTTTTCTGTAGAGTAGACCCCAAGTACAGTGGATAACGCAATCTACCTTTAGGTCTTATTAAAAAATGTTCTGGTTATAGATAAAAGAGGTCAAGAAAAACTACTAATAACAATCATCCCTTATTCTAAGTCCTAAACATAAGTATTAAAACAAAACTCAGTTGCCGATGGGCCAACAAAAATTGTTGAGGTCTACCTTAGCTAAACACAAAATGGAAGAGAAGCTGTTCCATTACACACATAGTCATTTTTTCACATATAGTCCCCACAGAAATCCACTATTATTGAATTTTTTTTTTCCCCAGGTTGCTTTACAAAGCAAGCCATTGGTTCAGCAGAAGCCATTGCTTCTACTTTGAATCTGCCCTGGTCCAGAGAATATGAGTTTTCCCAAAAGTCCCAGTTCTTCTAATGCTTCCACTCCAGCCACTGGAGAACATGGAGAGAAGCACCAAGGAGCTGTGGCTGAACCTCCCTGATCTGTTTTCCTGTTGAATCTGCTCCCCTGAAGGTCATGACTCAAGGCCCAGGGACTGAAATCCTTTGCTACGGAGGAATAAGGATAAGGGTTGCATACAGCAGGCTCTTTAATGGCATCTCCCTAATTAAAATTAATTTTAAAAGGAAAAAAAAAAGTCTCTCTCCAGCACTGGACAAAGAAATGCTACCTTAGATTAGTGAAACAGTAGCATTTTAACTATGAGGAGAGTGCACAACCTATTTGTAGCCATCCCATGTCAATTATTCTGAATCATCTTTTTATATTAGACATGGGGAAAAAAAAAATCTTTATAAATATGGGCTGTTTTAATATCCCAAAGCAGGAGCAGCAGGTAAGAACTTACCATTTTCTGGCTGGTCCTTAATATCAGCTTCACTTGGCTGGCTGGGACTTTCAGATTGACTTGAATCTGAAAAACATAAAATACAGCCAAAAATTACAGGGTCTGCTGTGGAAAATAGATCAGAGGCGCCAGACTTCCTCAAAAGGCTGAGAGTACAAACTGAGGACAGGAGTGTTGCACTAGGACATGATAATGCAAAAGTCCCGTGCCTAGGTAATATGTTTTCTAGCCAAAAAAAAAAAAAAAAAAAAAAAAAGGAAAAAAGAGAAAAATTTAAAAAGGGAATCTTGTCTGTGGCACTACACAGAGTGCTTGGGGTGTGTGTTGGCATAAATTAAGCTTTGAGAATCCTTCTTTTTAAAGAAGGCATATTTAAATGACTCTCCTACATGTTTTTTATAATGCAGCCTCTATGTTGTATACAAACCAGAGCCTTACTCCAACACATAGTAAAGTCTCAAAACATATCTCCAAGCAGGCATAGAAAGGTAACTTAGCAACCCTACATAGTCGTGGAGATTGTTGGCTACACATTTCTGGAACAAAATCTGCAAAACTGAGGGAAGAGCTGATTTTTTTGGCGTACTTTCACGGTGGTTACAGCACCACAAGATCCCTAAAATGCACGGTGCTGGTGGTGATTTGCAGTGGGATAAGTGAGTCCAGCTACTGGATGACCTGCTTTAGAACTTGTGTAAATAATCCCACAACCTCCCAGCTAACACTCTCCAACGAGCAAAATTTATTTGCCTAAAATAATAAATGACCTATAAAGGGGTATGTGTAAATATGAGTGTTTTGCATTTTTTACACATTATTAACTCTACTTTATGTGAAGATGATCGTTCTTTGGTCCAAAAATTATTCTTAGCAGAAGCTTTATCAAACAGTATTTTCCTTCTTAATTATTTCTGTCACTATGAACTGGAAAAAAAAGTCCCTTTACCTGTGGGAAAAAATATTTTTTAAGAAATCCCTCAAATTACTGTTTTTTTGCAAATAATACATTTTTTTCCTTTCCCCAGAAATTGTTCTGTAATTTATTGATCCCGTAGAACAAGTTTTTGCTGTGAAACAAAACTTAGGCGATGAAACTGCTTGCTAATGCCTCAACACCACCCCTCATCGTGACAAACCCATTTTCTGACTTCACCTTGACTTTGCAGAGTTTGGAACAAGCTGTCTGAAATTTGACCACATTTCAGTGAGAAGTCAATGCAAGATCAAAAGGTCACGACACTTAACTGTGATTAAATTGAAAATCTTACTTCTATTGCAACAGAGTCATAACACCACCCTTTCTTTTTCTTTGAGGTATTAATAGTGCTGGAAGAAGCAGTACTACTAGTGACCTTGGGTCAAGCAATGCTAATTTATTGCTTTAAAAAGGTTCCTTGCTTTTAAGCAAATGAAGATTTTAATTACCACAGAGCACTATAAAGAAAATGCCTATTTTAAATATTCAAATTTTTTTTTACCTGCTGACTGTCTGCTTTAGGTATCATTCAGAAGCTTAGAGGACAACCTTGTATAAATTAAAAACTACAAGTAAAAAAAAGCACTCACAAAACAAAACTTGATAAATTTCAGAATAAAAACATGCTGAGTATTTAGCAAAGAAAGCTTCAGTCACGATGCTTCTATTAAAAATCAATTAAATCCCCCTAAAAAGTGATATATACCCAGTGCATCCCAGAATCCATTCCCCCTCTTTTGTATTTATTATTTTTAATAATTTTGCCAATGGAGCAAAGGGGGAAAAAAAAAAAATCCTCACTTCTGTAATATTGTTTTAAATATTGATCTACTGAATTATCTCTCCCTGAAGCTGAAATCAGTGCCAGCAGATACACTATGGGGGTAACATGCAGTGCTGTTGTATTCTGGATTTTGGCAAGAAGTTTTGTGTTTCTGACACCGCAAAGGTAGAAACAAAGGTAAAATATTAGGAATGTAAAATATTTAGTTAACATTCAAAGTCAACATTCAACAGATTTAATTTTACATAGTGGGCATTAGCCTTTTGCTTATTTTTTAGGTTTTACTTTCCCTCCAGCCAGCCGTGGCTCAATCAGAGCTTGGGCTTCACGTTTCAAGTAGGCTCGGAATTCCACAAAAATTTACAGATTTGGAGACGTTCCTGCTGAAACGTAGGACTGGGAGCATGTTTCCTTTCCCTTAAATTTGGAACGAGCCAGGGAGGCGGCGAGAGGGCCGCGGTGGCTGCGCGGGAGCCGGGCTCGGCGCTGGCACCTTGGCTCCAGCACAGCCCTGCAGCCGGTGGGCAGCACGCAGCCCGAGCTGCTCCTGCCTTGGGAGGAACAAACAAAGTACTTTTGTTTGCCTCGAGTGCTGTTTTTCCAACACCAAGGCTAGTGGCACAAGAAGGGCTCCACTGGCCGTAGGATGTTTGTTTGCATGCTGAATCTTTAACTTTCTCCTTTTATCACCTCGGTTCTGGCGATGGCGTTTTTCCTAATTCTGCTTCCCCGCAACCCGCCCCTTCTGCTGAAATTAAATATTAATTTCCTAGGAAAAGACAACACAGCTTTAAGCACTATTCTTCATGGAGAGGCACAGGGCAGCAAAGCACAGGACGAGGTAGAATTAAAGCCACTCAATCCTGCGGTGGGGATCACGGGAGGCTACCGAAAACATGGACTGGGCAAGCGTGTGCTCAGCATTGTTATGCAAGGTGGCATCTTGTGGAAACCCCAGATAAGAAGACTGAGTTGAGGCACTTAGCCAAAATGTTTATATGCAGAATTTTGCTTCCCTGATTTTATTCAGATGCCGCAGATGATCCGGCACATATAAATGTGCCGCCACATGGTTTAGGGATTGGCAAAATCAGAGCCGTTGTGTTTTACAGTCTTGCCTAGGACGAGGGAGTCTTGCTCAGCCTCCACCACTCGCTCTTTGCTTTTTCAGCAGTTGGCACTAACTCCTGTCGGGGCTTTTTTGTTGTTTTGCACATGGAAACTTTCAAATTCCAGTTTTCTGAACGTTTCGTGTTTTGCGGGCTCGGCTACAACAGGAGGGGGAATGTCTGTCCTGCTGAGTCAGTTAGCCAAACAGGTGACCGGAGGAATAAATTAATTTTTGCCCATACATAATTGATATAAATGGAAGATCGTTTTCATAAGCATTTGCATTAAATCAATAAAATCACTTACTATAGAGCAGTTTAACAATTCATTTGATTTTCTCTTTTCTATATATTTGATAGCCACTCTGCAAAACAGTATACACTTTATGCCTATTTTCTTTAGCAAAAACACTGCCAGTTAAATTCTACCACCTGCAATAATTAGAGCCATTGGAAAACATACAAAACAAAATATACAGTAGATGTGAGCCCTCTTGAATCCATGGCCCCCTGCAGTAACGAGTTTCATTGGTGCCTTAAGCTAAGGCTGGTAGGAAGCCAAAGAATCTGTATATTACAATAAAGTGCATGTTATTAAGGGGAGGATTTAAATGATTTCAGATGGAGTTGGAAATATTATAGTGAGGAACCACTATTAAGATTGCTGATTAAAAAAAAAAATCACCAAGGAATCTAGTTTTATGTTTAAGGAAGCTTAACCTTGAATAGCACAATGGGTTTTATTTGGGGGCTTTTTTAGTTAGAGAAAAGTTAGTGGTTGGAATTTTTAACCCTGAGCTAGCTGGGGTTTGAGTGAAACTGTGCACTGGGCTCAAGGTTACTGGTCAAGAGAAGCTCAAGGGGATCTGATATCAACCACAACCATGGCAAATAGAATAAAAAAAACATGTTGAAGCTATTTTACTCTCTACTTCCAAGCATCAATTTTGATTAAGGGAAAAAGGGAAAAAAAATCCCTGCACACAACAAAACTGGCTAGTTTTTCAAAGTAGCATTTCCTATCATGTCTCTATTCTCTGTTCCTCTTTGGATCTGTTCCTTAAGCATATGCTACCTCAGCACGACTGAGCCCCAGATCTGCCTGATCCCAAACCCTACACAGGCAGGGACCTCCAGCTTTGGGACAGAAGCTCTGGACTTTTCAGGCTGCAGTTTTCCTTTTCAGCTGCAGCAGTAGCACAGCTCCAGCTGGGCTGCTCGGCGGCTGCATGGAAGCAGGGCTGGCGGCACTGGAAGGGAGTGCTCCATTGTTTGGAAAGAATAAAACCTTCCCAGGAAAGTCTGGCCCGTGGACAGGACCAATGTCAACAGACTGACAATGTTGTTCTTTTTTGTAGACCGTGACACAGACGGTGAAGTGTTGTTGCACTCCTCCACCAAAAAAGCCTCTTTTGAGTGCCATGGCACTTCCCAGTGCTAAACCACTCCATGGCCACCTGACTGGGGACAGACAGGACACTTTGTGGAGCACTCCCAAAACACACTGTGTTTTCCAGGGCAGGCTGAATCCAGCCTGGAATTCACTGGGGTGGCAGTGACCCTCTTCATTGCTGGTTTGCGCAGACCCAGTGAATGGGTGCCAAGATCATTTTTTACCTCTGTAGAGCCGTTCCCCAGCAGAACCTGAGCCTCTGAGCAGCCTGCAAGCTACCACAGGTTCAGACACATCTATCCTGGAAACAGTAAATGTGATCCCTGCATAGTGCAGGAAAAAAATGACCGGCGATGCCAGATGAGCAAGGCAGCACTGCCACTGCCCATGCTGAGCCTGCTCTGCAGTGAAATACAGCAGGTTCCTCTCCTCCACCATCACCCCAGCACCTCACAGGAGCACCACAGAAGCGCACAAGTTAAATTTTCAATTCATATCATGTTTTGGGGGTGGGGGGAATACTGTATAATAAACTGACATATTTTATTCAAGTTTCAGAGCCCTATTTGTAATAAAAAATTTATATGGCTGGGTTGTGTTCATGCAATAAATTTTTCATCTATAATTTTGGGCATGGATTCTACCAAAGATTTATATACATTAAAAAAAAAAAAAAATTGAAATCATGCTCTTTTATATACAGTCTTATGTGGTGAGCTTAAAGGATTTATAAACAGAAACCAGGACCAGGACTGGGGCTTTTTTTCACTCACTTTCCCTTCATTATACATTATAATATAAACA